GGACGACGAAAGCAATATCGTATTTTCAATTAAATGGACATATGGTCACTTTTCAACCTGTTCGCTTGCCCATTCATTTAACTTCCATTGGGAAAGTAGTTACTTGATCGAATGCTTGACTTTCTCGTGCATCACTGCGTATTATTAAACAGTGGAGTCTATACCAGGTGAATTCGCAGCTTTGTGAATTATCGCAGCCCTCACCCTGAAAGTCGATGGCTCCATTGCAGTGCTATTAAAGCTAAACATACAACGGAACCAAAAAGATCCTACCAGGTTGTACTAATAGATGTTTACAGTTCCTGAAGTATAATTTCCGCAAATTATGGAAAATATATTACTAAAGTGTAAAGGAGAAATAAGAGCAGCGATACTATGGTGGTCTGTATCCCACGCTCACATTCACAATTATTTATTTGATGGAGGGAGATTTTTCGTAGATCCTGTATTTTGCATTTCCTCAAAGTTTGATCCGTATAACAGTTATCGGTGCTCCGTTCCTCTGGAACTAGCAAACAATCAGTTGTGCTAAGCGATAATGGCATTTCAGTGTTACAGTGTTTTCAATTCTCCTATCCGGTCCGCAATCATCGAACGCAACGGCAACTGTTCACTTGACTCGTTTAGTGACGTTCGCAAACACCTATGATGCTTACAATGTGAACTTAATGCATCTTCTTTTCTCATATGAATCAGGAGGCTCACACGTCGAAGAGCCAATTGGTCCGTTTATAGCATACGTGCACTGTGGTGCTCATCTGCGATGGTAGTAGCACGCGTCACGTGGTCAAAAGTCATCAAACTAACTTCACCTTTCCATTCCACCATATTGACCAAGAATATCCGATCCACAACTTCACACGGCACAACTAATCAAATGAGAGCTTGAATACTGTTTCATGAGACCAACCGGCTGATAAATATTCCACACACCTTCAACATATCTCGAGCATGGATAGAGGTGAACAGGTTGAGTGAATGTATACACTCTAGATTTGACCTGTTTCCGTACCTGTTCCCTTCAGCAAACTTTCCAGGTTGTTCACATTCGACTACCACTGTGATCAGATAGGTCATTTCAACCACGTATTCCTATAATTTTCGTCAATACAAAAACTTTTTCTCACTTCATTCCAAATAGATAAAAGGATTCTCAGAGAGTGGACAAAGAATTTAAATAAAAATAATGTAAATGCCCTTTCTTCGTTTTTCTATTTATTAAATATAAAAATGTACAGTCAACCTTCAGGAAGGGGGCTGCGGTCATGGAAAGGCTGCTTGGGGAAATTACAGATATAGGGAAGACGGACGGCGGTGGGACGGTTTGCACCCAGAACACCCAGGTCACTATTTGGTGACCTAACCACTTGACCACCACCGTCCAAACGTCACTCTTATTAATAACCATAATGGATGCAACACTAAACGTTCGGTCGTTTTTTACCTATTTAGAATGCACAAGTATACTAATTGTTGAAAGTCTGGGCTGGGGTCAATCAAAAGGTATTATGTTTCATAAGTTAGGAAATTTACAAACGTTCTAGTTTTTTGGTGAACGTAAGGAAAAAAGGACGATTGGCGGTGGTGGTCAGTAGCAAAACAAAACGGAACAGTTGCACAGTGTTCTTTTCAAAACGCTACATGGCTGAAATCAGAGAAATACAACGAGTGAAATCATTACTCAAAACATGAGTAAACATGCGCAGTAACCCATGTCTGTTTAATAAAGTCGGTTAATTCCGGATGAGAATTTCTGGGTAAGAACTCTAACAAGTACGAACTGTAGTTTACTTTATTTGCGGATCGAGGACTAACATGAGGGTGTGAAAATAATCCACATATATGAACCCTGAGCGTAACCCATTAGACTAAAAATGTTCACTGCAATTGCAGTTTGACGATGATACGCACTGGCCCTATTTGTCTAATTGTCATATGGGCAGTGAACTGAAAAATGAGACACTGGAGTGAGCGACAGAAGCATTAGGAAGCCTAATTAGTGAACAGGAAATGTAACAATTACCCAACATGTTTTTCATCAAATCGATCCGGAGAGATCAAATTCGGTTCAATGATGATAAAACTCATCCTAATACATGGAGGTGGCAGTCGGATTTTAATTATGATTTTCCAAAACCGATTAATCCCAGGATTTTTCCCCCGGGGAAAAAAGAATTGTGATTGCCTCAACTCAAATGCTGTATACATAGCGTACTCTGTGGCTAGCCGCATAAGTTGCATGTGCCAAAGTGAATCATACCTAAGACGCATGAATGGTGTTCACGCCGTATTTGGCAAATATGAAAGACGATCGTGGTTCAGTTCATGGACCAATTGTCTGTTGAAACAGGAGAAAGCCACTCGGTTCAAGGTCATCAAAGATAGAAATAGGAAAAATGCTTACCCGGGCACTAGCTATCGGAAGGCTGCTAAAAAATTCATCCATCACTCCGGTTTATTGACTGACCCACATCATTTCATTAACCATGCCATTCAGAAGGGCGAAATCAGAAATATGCATAAAAGGCCCTTTATTGAGGTTTGGTTCTCGCGGTGAGAATTCACATGGACTGGAGTTTTAAATTGATTGGTTTGATAATCGCGATTGGGAAAAAGTTTAACCTGAAGCGTCTTCATGGATTCACGTGCTACTTGCATGACTCCGTCAGAGCAAGTTACCCTTTGGCAGTCAAGCCTACACTGGGAGTTCTGTCATAGTTTACGGTGTCAGTTTTACGGATGGAGAATCTTCCTGAGCAGTTCTCGAAGGAAATCAGACAGCGGAACCTTAAATCAACATCTTGAATGAGCTTCTCCTTGTCCCAACTCCGAAAAATATATTAAAAGCCATGAGTTTCAGGAGGTTTATACATTTAAACCCTAAACCCACCTAATTAGAATAAGGATACTACCCCGACACATCAAGACCATGGACTAAACAGCCTTCAGTCCGGATTTGACCCCTAACGGGAATGTTTGTGGCGCATTGGTGCTGCGTGCTTAAGCTTATGAAAAGGTTTTCGAAATTGTCCCTGAATCAGAGATAATTGTTCTTCATGAATGGAACGATTTTGAGGTGTAGACAATCCGGAATCACACAGGAAGTGTGCCTAACACTTGTGTTTCGAGGACAAATGAAAAATTAACATGTATTTTATAACGAATTGCATAGGTTCTCTATTTCTGGACGGGGACCGATGGGGGTAAACAATACTTCTCACCATGTGGGGATTATTTCCCGCAATGGATCAGTTTAGAAAAGTCAATCAAAACCCATTTGGTTTAAATGCGCAATCGTAAGTTCTGTCATTATAACAAACCTAGTAAGCATGGTTGACTTGTTTGGTGACAGATGGTGAATAACAGCGTAATAATTGCATTCTGCGAGTTATAACTGTTAGAAAAGTCATTGATCCATACAGCAAATATCGTGATCGACCCACGGGGTAATCTGAGAAGCAAAGTTTAAGACAATACAAATTTTAGAAAGAGGTAATTTAATTGTGAACTTGGCGTGTAGACGGTTGGGGATGGGTCATTGTGAATATGAATTGTGAGAATGAATGGCAGCTTATGCATAAACTTTACGTCAACTGATTACACATGTAAGGACATGGGCCAGCTTTATTAAAAATGTGTTATAAAGTGTTTATGGGAGCAAAAGTATGTGTGTGTGGAAACGGATCGAAATATTCTTATCCGTTTGCGAAATTCTGGGAATGACATGCTTGGATAGCGTTCCTTTGATCGCATAAAATTAACGACAAACTGCACGCACATGAATTATTCGATGGGCATTGATCGAATATATAGTAGTTATTTATTTAAATTTAGTATTTATCGTCATCCCGGTCCTTGTCAATTCCTGATTCATCCAGCTAGGGTGCTGCTCCTTGATACAATCCAAAAGAAATATAACTGTTCGACGTAAACAGCCTGCTCCATAAAGGCAGTGGAAATGATGACTGAAAAACGAGGTTCTTTTCTGGAGTAATCTCTGTTTCGTCTGCATAAAAAAGAAAAGGCTAAGAAGTGAATATTGGGTTCGGGGTTCGGAAATTTCATCTACTTGATGCGCGCGCTAACGTAACACTTCCTCCTAAGCTCACACACTCACAGAAACAAAAAAAATACGTGCAACCACAAAGGATCATTCACTACATCTAACCTTGAGGATGGAAATCAAATATCTCTTCGTAAGTAGCGCGAAATAATGATGAGCACCATTAGGAAGTATATTGTAAAATTAAACAGAATAGAAGCCTCTATTTTATTACCGCTTGTAAACTCTGTTTGGAGACAAATAGTCGTTAAGACTGGTTCTGAATAATCCAGTCGAAATGCCCCTGGTTGTAAGAAGAACTGTCGCAATTCTAAGAAAATAAAGCAAAATAAAGGTGTGCAAAAGACAGACGTCAATGAGAGTACATTGTTCATACTTCCTGAAAGTACCAGGATAAGCTTGTGCAAAATCATTTGTGATCGATTCACAGTTTGCGTGGATTTTGCCAATTTCTTCATAAATTAATAATCTTAAGCGCGTTTGGAGTCGCCGGAAATCAGTCGTTCGTGTTCCATAGTCAGGGTGAGTTGAGATATTAAAGAGCATTTTCCGTATTCTGCGGCTCATGTTTGTCGTGTTTTTTTTTGAAAGTATAACTCATGGTGAGGCTTTGTTAGAAAGTGTTTAGACGGCTGATAACCGTGATGGTAACACAATCCCGTAGACTACTAGTAGGTACACCTAAACCTACTTCTGGAAAGTATTCGGAGTGCTTTTTTGTTGTAAGGCTAAGGAGCAAAGAAAATTGAAGCACCAAAAGAGTGACCAAAATAGAACTCAGTATGTCTCCCGTGACGGTGAGATGTTAAATCAATGGAAGTGGGTGCTAAAGTGGAATAGATTAGAGAAATACGAATACTTCAAACCGCATAAAATTCTTTCGAGTTCAAAACTCTTTCAATACTATAGTATTGGTTTGTGCATGAGTCTTTGGTGAATTCTGTCCACGAACACGCTATCCATCAGTGAAATGAAAACGGACTACTTTGCGGATGAAACTATACTCATCAGATTAGTATTCAAAAAGCAGGTAGTGAGGGTTCCTTACTGTACTTGACATTCCTGAAGGTGAACGCTATAACGTTTCCGTTTTCGTGCTTTGTCTGATAAACTTTATCCCCCTCTCTTTCGTTCTTTGTTTTCTGTCCCTTACGAGATGTGCGTACTTGAAATACCGGACGGCATCAGATAATGATAGCCAGAGTCTAACGTCGCCGCGTTTCAAACTTTCTTTATCCATGGTGTTATCACGTTCAATATCATTTGTATGGTATCAGTGACCCACCTTAAAATAGGCCTCAATAACAAGGTATATCAGTGAAACAAAGCTACCAAAACGTAACACGAGGTGTGCAGTGTAGTTTAAAATGAAACAGACCCTCATTTACTGATTTATTGTTTATTGGGGTTGGGGTTTTGGGAAATCTCTAGCAGTGTATCTATGTGGTAAACAAGAACATACATCGAAATGTGCAATAACAATGCGACGACCATTATCGGCAGTAGATGGAGTCAATTTGCGTATAATAATAGGTGCTTTAAATCAAAGGCTAGCTAGAGTAAACGGACTGAAAATCCAGACAACAAACCAATGCAAAATTTGGTGAAAAAATATATGGCATTAACTCAAGAAACCATTCTATTATTAAACTAAGAGGGAAATAACTCTCAGAATTTTCTGAAGAAAATCGGGCTCTAATATTTATACTCTCATATTTTCTCATGCATGAGAGTTGTTATCATAAAACGCAATATAATGTTCCAGTTTTAACTGAGCAAATCGGTTTTCTTCTATCCGATCCCCCACTTCCCGGAATCTCGTGCGCGACAGATTTTCTCCAGCGACGATTCCATTGAGGATTGGCGAATGGCTGTGGACTGTAATCGAATCGGCCAAATGGCTTTGGAACTAATTGTCTGCCTTATTCACCCTTTCCCCGGCTCAGATGCCATCCAGTTTCCCATTTCTCCTTCCTATGTTGGCCCCATGACCGATTTTCATCCCCACACATTCCCCGTCCCCGTCCATTCCTTGGAACCGGATCCCGGGGCTGTGATACGTTTAAATCGTAGTGCAACCGTGATCAATAAACCCCTGGTCCGTACCACTCTGATTCACTCCACCGGAACCGGTAGTCATGATCTGAATACCACTTCCGGTTACGCATTCTATCCGTATAAGATTGTCTCAGTTGATCTGATGCTCTCGGTGCCTATGTTTTTGCGACTCTATCTCCTGTTGCGCGCCATGCTTTTGCATTCCAAACTGTTCACTGATGCTGGCTCGCGTAGCATTGGTGCTATGAACAAAGTGAATTTCGATATGCGTTTCATATTTAAAACCTTGATGACAATGTGTCCGGGAAAGCTTTTGCTCGGATTCATTCTTTGTCTGTGGATCATCTATTCCTGGTCTCTTAGAGCATGCGAAAGGTGAGTGTTTCACTTTTTCTACGCAAAGGTTTTACTGGGCTAGGTCGAATCGTTCATTGACCCATGCTCGCCACTTGTCGTTGTATCTTTGAGTCCCGCTTTAATCAAAATACTCTGGAAACGGATGATCGAAAGCCGCTGATCGTGTGGTATATTTGGTATCCACGTGTGACCTCTTCCACTCTAACCTCAGTTCTGTCGATCGGTTCGCTCCGGTGATGCCACTTCACCAAAACCAGAGAACCATGCAGTTTGGACCACATTTTTAGTTAACATTTCCTCGGCTGTGTACACGGAGAAAATCATCCTTGAATGGAATTAAACTCTCCACTACTCGGTGTAGTTGATCAGTTGCTGCGCAATCGGAGTAAAGCAACATTACTCGTGTTTGTTTGTTTATGAATGCTACACTTATATGTACGAATATGTGGTGTACATATCTACGGAAGACTCAAAATATTAGCCCGTTTACGGTTGAATAATCGGCTGTAGGTCAGGGGAGTGCAAGAACTCTAACTAAATAGTTTCATCAACAAGGCTGAAGATTAAAAACCGCACGCTTATTGTTCCCGTTATCTCCAGTCTGGGCCTCATTCCATGGAACTACCTGCAGGAACGTGAAGTGGGTTTCTATGTCGACCAATTGTTCCAATTAGATCAAGTGGGTAAAGATCGAGCGTGTGATGAATCTCGTCATTCCATTTAAAATTAACCAGAGCAGAGTGCACAGATAACGTTCTCGTCATTAAAGCAAAGTAACTAGAATTTAAATGTAATTGAAGTGGAAGACCCTTATTTCGATTTTAGTTTGAAGCTTATTCATAATTTCATTTAGATTTTCAATGGTGGATATTACATTATTTCATATTTATATTATATATATGTATTATATATAAGTATTGTATTATATTTTTTTGGGCGCGCAACAGTGGGGGGATTAAGGGTTGTGATTCCGAATACTTACGGCTTCGGTCTTGGCTAAGATAGGATGATTCACCGGTTACCCCCACCGAATCTTGTAAATAGGTCGAAACGCGCTTGTCGGATTCATCCGAGTGATTTGTCTTAACGAACGCCGTGTTCGCAAGCAAGTTGCGACTGATTAGGAGGGTTTGCTGTAGGCAATAAGGACAGTGAAGCATCATACCTCAGCCACAGCCGAAGCGGTGAGTATTCGGATTCACAACATCTCTCCCTCTTATGCGCCCAGAAGGAATTCGTGCCATCACTTGACATTTTGGCGCTGTGTTGAATTTGACCCAACACGTGCAACACCTTTGAAATGAACCATTAGGACTTGAATTTCCCTCTCGATATCCCCAATCATTTTGTTGGGAAAACACCCCTCCGTCTCCCACTCGAAAGAAATTGAATTTGGTTTCCTTAGCAGGGGCTAAATGTGACTAATGTCCCAGTTGGCGAGATGTGATGCGATTGTATCCAATCGAAACCCAAGACACCCATTATCTACTATACGGAGGCCTTCAGAAGCTTAGGGGTCCGTATGCTTGTCCTTATGCTATGTGGATGCAACTATCCGGCATCCCCACACACACATGCCACAGAATACTGTCCCCTAAATCAAGGAGCCACATTCGTAGTATATGAAATCCGACCGGAATTACCAGTTCATCTGTAGGTGCTTGGCCACAGCCGAGCGGTAGCCTTGACAAGCAGCATCCGAATACCGGTTAAAAATTACAACGAGATCAAAGATTACACAAACGATGCAGACCAACGTTATTGATTGTGCATCACATGTTAGGAAACTGAACATCAAATGAGCGTGGCCACGGCATTGAAAATTGTTTTCTTCACACAAAACTCTCATTGCTCCAATTTACAGAGATGATTGCTATAAAACGGTGGAAACCTGAACTGCGTAAAGGGAAACAATTCTTCGCAATTCTAGTCCGCCTTGTTATAGAGATGGATCAATTAAAACCCACGGCTTATCCAAGTTAACTGTAAATTGCTGGTCTTTACGACATTTTCAAAATGTATGCCCCTGAAGAGATATAGCAAATTGTTTCGGGAAGTGAATTGTGCAACGTTTTGCTATCCATCTTTTCATCGGAAAAAGTATGTTTCAGTTTCCTCTAGCAGCTTCTGTCAAAACAAGAGTAAAACACTGTGGCTCCAACACAGTAATATCATTATAGACACAATGATTATCCACTTGCATGCTGCGGTTAAAATTACAATTATCTCTCACAGTGAAATATTATCTTTTCATTTTGTTTCGCGTTTTACGCTTACTCCAAAAGGTCTGAATTTGATACTTTTTCATTCATTTAGATAAAAACGCAGTATGCTTTTCCAAAGGAATAATGCTATCAACACTGCTTTTGCTTTTGTCTGTTGAAAGTTGGTTTCCGTTTTTTAAATGTGTTGTGGAGCTCAAATACAGGTTCTCACAAACTCTTCATCGCTTCTACCGTACTATCCCACGAATTGACAACTTCAATTAGCTAGCCGATATTGTTATAACGGTCTATTCTGTGGAGATTAGTCTTCGGATGAGAAAATGAACCCACGTTTGAATGACTTTTTGCATTTACCCAGGTTGTTTTCTAAGCAAGGAACAACTTCTGCAGCCAGATTATTCTTCATTGAACGGGGTTAGTTCGAAACAACAACAGAAGTAGACAAGTCAATTAATTTGACTCGTTCAAGCAAAATGTGACCACATACGAAATGAATCGTCAAATCACACAGAATTGAACAGTATTATGTGTTCAGTCACCTGGTTCCGTTAATATTATCACCTATTTGTTGGTGGCTTCCCCAGTACTTGTGAAGTGATTTCTGGTGGACCGAAATAACATGCAGATTGCCAAAGGTTTATATGCTGTCAGAGTGGCAGTATAGATCAATGAAGTCGATGCAAACACTGCTCGTAGTTTGATTAATTGTCATACCATCAATGGAGTTAACAAGAGAGGTAGTTTACTCTGCTGATAAATTGTTTTGTTGGAAATTACGAGAGGATTTAGTCTCTGTTTCTCTTATGTTACACAGGTTCACATCGACCTCGGCGGTCAGCTTGTCTTCAGCAGTGACTTACCCGGTCAATAATGATATGCGAAATTACTATATTTGTAGAAGTTTCAATAGGAAGCAAATAACATCACGGTGAATCAAATCAAACCAATACAACTCGATATTTTGTCAAGTATTTATTTCACACACGTCTGAGGCCAGACTGTGCCAAGCAAATTATGGTACAAAATTCCTTTTAAAGAAGCAAAAGGTTCCACGATTTGCATGTGGGTCGAATACTGTCAGGTTTTCCAGGCTAAGGTAGATGAATTTTCTCTAGGAATCCACCATCGGGGCCTTAGGTTAGACAAACTCTGACCCGCAAGGCAGCGGGGTGATGTGGGAAAACCGCAGGTGAACTATCAGTGGTTCACCAACCCGGTCATAACCCTGTGTGTCGGCTTTTCGTCCTCTCACTTTGGTGGGTAAACACGTCTGCTGCGAGAAGGCAGTGAGTAGGGTATCCTCAGCAGAGGCTATTTTAGACGTTTGACTGATGGGAGTATTTCGCGAGGTACGACAGAAGGGTGACTAGCTGCAACCCGAGACACCCACCCACGACCAAGCTGAGGCTTTCGGAGAACAAGTACCAAGTGATCAATCCGGGTTTCAAACTCGCAACAAGCTAGCATAGATTGGTTGTGCTATATCGTGTATCCTCAGAATTAGAAAACGGTCTGATCAGATGCCTGATGGCCGAGTGGGTAGTGTGCTTGCATTCCGCCTATGAGGTGCCGGGTTCGATTCCTGGTTGGGTTGATAGACACACTGCTGATAAGACCCAACCAGGTTGAAACAGCTTTCCAGTGCTTACCAAGTTTTCCACTCACACCTCATTTAAACGATGAACTCGCCACATAAACAAGTTTCAAAATGTTTGGTTGACGGTTAAATTCAAACTGAAGCCGCAGCTATTAGCCCGGATTGTAATAATCTTTGCATTGTGTCAGGCTCCGTTAATAGCACACAATCATCCATTTGTTGACCAAATGTGAAATATGAAAGACTCATTACTCAGGACAGATATGCACTGCCTGCTCTTTTATTTTGTGAAGTGCAGATCTATGTTTCATGGCAAAACTCTTTCACAACCTGTTGAGCTTTATTCAATAGTTTAGAAATATTTTTGTACATCTAGAATTCACTAGTGCCGGTCGGGTTAGAACCCAAGGTCTCTCCTTCATCAGCTGATTTGAAGTACCAATCCAATGGTCATTGGACAAATGTTCGAATAGAATGGACCCAGTAATTGAATTGCTGACTTTTGGGGGCACAAAACTGCATATTTGTATACGATTTCAATTAGTTTCATTGTTTTATAGTGATCAAATTTGTTTATTCAATATATCGTGCTGTAAAATTATTAAAATTCAAAAAGTATAGTGTTAATTACACAATTTAATGACTTCACTGGACGACACAGTTTGTTGTTGGCTACTAAAGTCCGTGCGATATTTTGAATGCCGACCAATAAAGTATCACAACTATGGTGTGAAAACTTTAGTGCTTACACTCAAACAACAAATTTAGCATGGGGAATTGGAAGACCCTAAATGGCTGATTTTTCTTCATAAGAATCACAGAGGTCAAGAAGGTAACAGCCAAGTTGTGTTCTGGGATATGTTGATGAATGCATGTAAACCAAATACAGTGTCACAGTGGGGAATCGGGAATAGATGTTTGTGTAGGCTAACTTATTGTGTATTAATTTGCTCAGCATTTGGAATACAAGTGCTCTATTCCGGTTCGTTAAATCGTGATAAACTGGGATTGCACAAAACAACTCAAATATATAAAAACATAAAGTTTACGGAAATAATAGCAATGGTCCACGAGGGCTGTTTTCATAGTTGCCACGCTATGAGGCATTTCAGCAAGTCGTTATTCTTATCTACACTCGAACAATTTCTCTAAAACAGAAATCAAGCATTATTGACGAATAGGTTTCTTCACAATCATATTTCCACATGGGTTCAATAATATACCAACTACTTACGGCTCTTGATATTCCCATGTTCTATTTTTGTCAGCTTTTATGAAAAAGAACACGGAAACTTGCTCAATTCCATGTGGTTAATCGCAGTCACTTTCCTCAGTATTGGTTACGGCGACATAGTGCCTCATACCTATTGTGGACGGGCCATCGCATTGGCGACTGGAGTAATGGTAAGCATTTATACATCCAGTCTCGACTACATTTCGCAGACCAATTATTTCGTTCACTTTGCTGCTAACGTTTAAAAAAAAATTAACAACGGGATTTTGTTGCGTATTTTAGTGCAAAATAAGTAAGATGTATAACAGTGATTTGTACGATGTCCCCGAGGAGGTTTATTGTTTATGTAAATATTATCTTATAGACTAGAACGCTTTTGTCAAATTTTCATAGGCGACGAGAAAGAAATCACGGCAGTGGTTTCACCGAGAATTTCGGTTCCCTGCTCAACAATCATTTCGTGAATTTTAACACTGCTGCCCCCACCCCTCATTTTCAATACTGGATAGTTCTGTTAAGTCCTGCCTCTGTTTTCAGTTCAGCTCATGTTTTGTGTAACCTTTGAAGGGTTTTCTGAAACCTCTTCCTAATATGTATTCACTTTTTCACGAATATATCAAACTTTTAATCTAGCGTGATCTAAATTTGTCTAATTTTAAAACTGTGTGATATACAACACGTGGGATTAATGTGATAGTGATGATGTCCTAGTATGCAGTCATGAAGACTAATACTCTAAGTCCTGGGATTTCAATTGCCTATACATTGGGGAATTTGTTAGATTGGTCGTGCTATTCGTCTAGAAGACAACGAAGTTGTAAGAATATCCGGGTTAGTAACCAAAAGAACACAAACAAGCGAACACTCGCCTTTGCGTTGATTTACGATACCGCTTATCTTTAACAATGAAAATTGCACGATAATAGATATGTGAATAGACGGACAGCTGTTGGAGCGATGAGATCATGAGAAAGATCCGCTAAAAATGCTAACTGTCAATTCATTGATCTGTGTGGGCCAATCGGGACGAAGTAGGAGACACTTGTTGACGGCCAGATAGATTTATCGATTTAGAAAACCGTTTCTGAGAACACAGGAGATCAATGAAGCGCATGGTGATTATATCTGTTATGGCGACCGTGTAATTACTCAGGCAATACCATCAAACAAGCTTCTTTTCGTTTTATCCGTTCCCACCACGGCACATCTGGGTTGAACAAAACCAAGAATAACTCTCCAATCTTTCCGTGTTCCTTTCAGTTTTCTCAATCGCACACTATTGATGGTGATTCAGAAGTGACAAATAATTATTTTGGTGATTTCTTGGGAATCATTGCAGTTGGAAGATAAAACGCCGCATGTGAACGTCAAACTATAGAGCGATATTCAAAAAATACTTCCTACGGGAAAAATAGCAAAACATTAAGCATACCAGCCGCCAGATGAATGATAAAACATTACCAGAAACAAGGTTTTGTCTTATTGCTGCTTTTCTTTAGGGTTTCGCTACTTTTGTCGAAGGAACTTAATTGCGCAACCTAGGAGACAGTTATCAAAGAGTATATTTGAGATCTCTTACTACCGAGTAAGCAACGGTGAGCCAAAGATAGTGGAATCCGTTTTTTGCCTACGAATGTTGGTGAGACAATTCCCGTTTAGGAGCATCCGTCGATGCACGTCATTGACTAAACAACCTCCGTTCTATCAACACGTGAATGTTATCTATCTACGCATCGTCAATCTCATGAATATCCATCTTTGATCTTAATGCAAACTATATCAAAGGGATGCAGCATCCTCTTTTAAAGATCCAGTAACTGATAAAAGTACCACACTTACGGTGTCTCCTGATATGAATATATATACCGGTGATTGATCTTAGCATATCAATGGATGCTAACTAATAATCTGATGTTGGTTCCGAATTTTCAGTGGGGAATCAGGAAGGAGCCACGAATTGCAGCGATGTATATATCCATAGCTTGTATCCAATCCTTGTTAAATAATCGGTATAATATGTTGTCCCTCACAAGACAGTTTATCAAGTACATGTCTTCAATATGGTGCACACTCTGGGAAAAGTGACCTACTTCTGATATTCTGGAAGAAAACATCTGAAATGAACTCCATTCCGTGCTCATCCTGTGATCATTTTAGTTCCTTTAAGAATAGTCTCAAATAACTGAGTGTGATTAAGTTGCCTTTACTAGCATAAATTCATTAGGTTAGTTGTTAAAGGAGATATGTAGCAGCTACCCGATGTACGCCCTGTCCAATATGGAATTGATCAAGTGTGTCTGACGATACCTCTTTTACACTTTTGTGAAATGCATTTCAGTATGTCATCTAACCGACTTCGTCTAACGGTATATTTATTTGTCTCTATCTATCAGGGCTCTGCTTGTACAGCATTAATTGTGGCCGTGTTTGCTAGAAAACTGGAACTGTCGAAAGCCGAGAAACATGTTATACATTTCATGATGGAAAACCAGTTGAACAAAAAGGTATGTGAAAGACGACAATGACGGTGAACTTAAGCCATCGGATTTAAACAGTTTGCAGCCATTTACTCTTTCATTAATTTTGTTCCCTTGATTTGCATTTCCCATTTGACCTCAGTTTGGCTTGGCTGCATCGATCGCATCGATCATCCAGTCTCATCATATTGCGATTGTAGCTGAACCACACCTTAAGAGGATAATTGTGGATATGGGTGTATCTCGAGGTTGGATCGAAAAACAGACAGTATGGTGGCCTATTGAACGCGTTTGATAACTAACTTAGTGCGTTATACTACATCTACACTAGATCCATCTATGCCACTTAGTTAATTACCGTTATCATTTTTCTGGGATCGTTTATAATGTGTTCAGTTTTGTCAGTTTATTAAAAGATTGATAGATTCACGTTCGTGTGATTGAGTTTAGTCTGATTTTAGATTTTTCATCTCCACATTGTATGTTTCTCTTTAAATCTGTAAGAAACTCGAGCTGTTCACTGATAAAATATTATAAGAAACTTCGAATTATTAAAATGCATTTTCATTTGGTTAAGACAGCAAACACAGCCTTTGTTAGGGAGCACGTATAAAAGATCCTGAAGAAACCAATCGGGAAATGTCTCGATGATTCGCTTTCCAACCAGATTTAGCTTTTTTCACTGTTAAAAAAGCCAGTCAGTTGGTTTATTTTCATTCGTTGAAATTTTACGCTTCGTGGAGCAATTTGATGATTGACTATTTTTTATTTGAATTTGCTGATGATTTTGTTCTTATCTAGTGAGATGCATAGAATAATTGTGGCAGCGTAAAATGAAAGATGAGATTGGATACGACATTCAATTCAATCGGTGAATTCTAAACCTTTTTTATGGGAAAAAAGGCCACGATTTTAGGCACGCAATATGTTGAGCAGTATTAGTTGGATTGTCGAATTGATACTGTGTGGAAAGAAATTTTCGCCGATTTCATCCTAGTTTTTTTCATTATCAAACAAGTTACACAAACAAATTAATTATCAAGAGATCAAAAGGGACGTTTTACGGTGGACTAATGAAGAAAAGCTGAAAAAGCATGCAAGTATTTTACTGATAAGTTATGGTCTCTCAGCGGTGTATCTCTTGAGCAACCTTACCTTATAGATCCACAGACAGAGTGCAATCAGGTTTATCTCTGTCCAGAAACGAACTTGCCAGGTTGATCAGTACCAACTAATATAGATAAACTCACTGTTGCATAGGAAAGTAAATGTGTCTCTTCATTTTCGGGCAATGAAACGGATGCATCTTAGGAATCTGGCATCAATCCTGAGAAAGAACTGACCGGTATGTATCATAGATAGATTCATGGATGGGTTCAGATCGTACGGTGACGATATGAGGTTTTCACGGGGTCCGTTTGCTGCATGAATAGTTTTAGTCTAGGATGTCTAACCTGCTCGGATGCCTACTTATATAGGGCAGAGAAAAAGTCAAACAGATGTAGTGTACACCGGGAACATAAGTGAGGTTTGTTTTTGGAGGAAAAATGAATATGATCGCTAATGGTTTGCAGACAAAGTCGAGCAACATTAATAAAAACGAAATGATTTCTAATTTTCCTATCCGTGTCTTGTAGGTGCTTAGTTGTAACCGGTTGCATCTGTACTAACACTCAACATGAACATTTTACAGTAAATCAAATCGATTTGCTTTAACAGTAAGCACTGTTAAGAATTTAAAAGAGCAGTACGATTTTGAAACACGTAGAACACCCAAGCATGATTCCGCCTCCATTTCCATCATCGAACTGTTTCAAGGAATAAATGTCCGCAACTGAAAAATTGTGTAGCGTTTCTGCTGATTACATTTTACCAGGCTCCGTAAATCAGATATTGGACAAAGTAACACATTTGATCTGCGCAAATTTTCGTTTATGCTCTATTAACGAAAACGAATGTCAACAATTGTGGTTAAACCTTCACGCATTATGGGAATTTTATTTTCACCCTCATCTAGGTCTATATACACGTTGATTTCATACAGTGATTGTATTTTTGATAAAAGCCCGCCAGTATGAAATGATCAGATTCCACACGAATTGTAAAATCACTCTAAGAAATTAATGCGTGCAATTCCATGACGAAAAAGACGAGCCACCTATCAGTTAATGGAATAAGTACTGGCATCAGATGAGATAATTTTACCCGATTTAATCGACAGGATATGGCTGAACGACAACAAGTTATCGAAGCCATACGCTAGTATTTCGATTATACCGGAATTTTCTTCACAGATCTCTTAAGGGGTGGGAAGTTACCCCAGATGATTTCACCTGTTTCATTTTATTGAATCGAGGAATTTCACATTAGCCAGTTTGCGATGGAACTGCATGAAAACGTTCTGTATAAATGGTTCATAGAAGGGTTTCAAAATGGCAACTGTTGTGCATTGTAGCACACACTGACACAAGTATTCACGCCCTGCGGATTACTCTACTATATTATCGTTCGGCTCTCCAATTAGATAT